TAACTATGATGAGCAAATTCACTTCGAATGATGATTTGTCTGCTTGTATAGGGAGAGGAGGAAGTGATATCGCAACTAGCGGATTTGAATGCAATTTCGTAATCTCTGGACTAATGTTTGTCTGCATGGCGTTAGTCCAAGCTTGAGTTCTACTGTAAGTCAGTGCTAATTTGGAGTATTTTCAAATTAACCCAAAATCACGGCCAAAAACTTGAGATAACCGAACCAATCTTTATCCACTTCAGGATTCCATGGTGCAGACAATCCACCAGCTCCTTCATTGGTGTTTAATTTAAAACAATGCAACTTCTCGGATTTGATAACTAGCGAATGACAAATACATGACTTCACTCTTCTCATATTTGTTTCAATTACGGTGGCTTGGACAATGGTTCGTGCTATAGCGTGAAATGCGGCAATATCTAGGCTTTAAGATTTTTTTTAATAGTATACCATTTTCACGCAAAGAGATCCCACACCAGTGCACAAGTGCAGGAATGATAAATTGATTGGTTTAACTACCCAATTTATTGTATATTTTCATATCAAACTTGCAAATGAGAGGATTTATCTAAATGCATTTTGCTAAGCATTCGTTCAAGTCAGGCGACGGCAACTATTGGACGAGTAGGGTCGCAACACATGGTAAATCTGCAACCAGTAAGGCAAATGTAACACACTCCACTTCGAGTGTCAAACAATCACAGCGAATACTTGTATCCCTCATCTTCTTATTTAACAGACAGTATTATTTTGCGTGGGGTGAGGTGGGCATTCAACATGAAGATGTCCTTTTGCCGTGGTTTCTAGCATTCAGTGTACATGGAATGTGTGCAGGGCATTTGCATCACCTGTAGCGGATGTTGTAGAGGACGTGATGATAATGTGGCACTCATTGGCATCACCTACCGTGATTGACCCCTCAACCAACTGCAGTCTCTTAAGTGCTTCTAGTCGTCAGTTTGGTTTCACGCCACCTAGCTATATTCATGAAAATTTTCGGTTATCAAAATACACAGCCTCTATTAGTAGCAATGTTTTTCCACTTTATATTATTTGTCTTGCTCCTTGTCCCTTTCCTTTAAGCTTGGTAGTCCAATTTGCATTCTTTTCCTCTGTCCTTCCTTTTATACTACCACCCATCACTGCAACACTTTGCACAAACAGATCGTGTTACGAACAAATAAGTAGCTATGATTAAGACATAATCGCAGTCTAATTAACCATTGCGGAATACACAGACAAATTCACTTGGTGGAATTTTAATCACAAACCGGACATTTGCAGTCCTAACACTAGTCTTTTCCTCCCCTATACAAGACCTGTTTGTCTCACCAACAGACACCATGCCACGTTGCATTCACATACCTGCTCCTTCTAAATAATCATCATCGTGCCACACAGCTTACAGCCCTCTTACACTCTGCCAACAGCCACTCTGTCTGATCCGTCTGACCCCATGATCCACGCTTTGCTTATGCAGCTTCATCTGCCTCTCCACTATTGTTGGTAGCAGTGCTTCTCTGTAGAATTGACTGCACACCTAGAAGTAGGCTTCTCTTTGTCCACACAGGTTAACCTGATAAACATCCTTCCATTCTTTGCTTCATTTCTTCTACATCCTTCGTAGTACCACTTAAACCCCAACTGATTGTTTGAAATAAAATCGTCTTCGCCATTTAGATATGTAAACTATTCTAATGGTGGTGCTGCAACCGCAACATTCTTACTTAACCAGAAACCAGAGAAATTATTTAGCAAATAGAAGAGCGACAGTAATAAGCAACGCCATCATAGCCTGTGAAGTGCAGTCGGGCATAGGAGTTACACCTCCCATAAATCTAGCCACCAACTATTATGATCCCACTTTATTAATTACACGTATAATAGCAAGAACTAGAGAATTTACTTATTTGTGATGGACTGGTAGCACATGTTTTGCATGAAACGCTTCCAACCAGCCAGTTGTCGCCATCACCTTGTTTACTTTAACTTTCAACCAAATTCATTTAAGTAAATCCTCCCAATTGTAAGTTTGCTATGAAAAAATACTAGAAATTTACATGTCGAAACATCCTTCACAACTCGATGCGTCTGTCGTAGATGTGGGGTCAGAATCACCGCAAATACGCAATGCGTTGAGTTAAACGAAAGTTTGAAAATAAGAAAACGGAAGTAGGCGTGATTGCTGGCAAGCAATCACTGAAATATAAAGAGGAGGTTGAATTAAGTAGACCGTGTCATCATTCCAGCCGAACATACATATTACTCTCTAACTTACCATGTTCATCTACTCATGGTTATACCTGAGATTGTGGGCAGAGTAGTGAAATCGCCTAGTTAAATAATGCTACCCGCAGTTTGTTGCTTGGCTGAAAGGATTACTTTACGTGCTTTGCTCGCTTAATTAAACTACACGGAATGCCTGTCATTCCTAAACGGAATGACTAAATTGAGACAAACAAGCAATGGATCAACTTTAGGGGCAGTGCACATTTTACCCTCCCACTATTCAAGAGGACGCATTTACCACTTTGTCCGAGCATCGCCCAATTCATCTAGGCACGCAACTGCAAACTGAAACACAAGTAATGCGGAGATGATCTTCCAATGTGAGGAAATGAACACTGAGTATCAAAATGTTTAATGAAATGAAAACCTCTGAATGTTGCCCATTAAATGAGTCAGTAATTTTATCTCTCTTACATCTATCATTTCTTGCAGAAGACGACTTTCATGTAGGAAGGTTATAAATTTAATGACACATTCGTTGGACGCTCACCGTTTAATTTTGCGGTGTGCTTGATGCTTCATGGCAGTTGACACTTCACTCAACGACCATTCAGAAAGGCGTGTGGGTGTCCACACACGGATATTGTTATAGGAGAGATTGGTCTGCCTTTTGTCACTCCCAATGCTGTAGGGTATGTAGCCCGCAGGAAAACTGCGGTTCGCCTATGGCAGACAGAAACCTGACTGATTCAATGCGATCTTCATGCATACTTCTAGAAATACTATTTAATGTTTCAAAACAAATTGAAATTGGGCTTAGTAACTGCCATCTTTAGCCAGGTTAATCTGGTTCATCTCTCAGTGGCAGAGGAAGTGGAAATGCTGTCAAATGTGGTACATACAAATTGTAATGGTGAGAGGTTGGAAGAAAGGAGAATCAGTGCAAATCCACGAATGTCCTACATGTCTAGTTGCCCAATGAGCAAAAAAAGAGAGTACTGTCCTTTGCTAATGGAAATATCATGCTTCAGAAACAAATACCGATGAGTGGAGTCCCTTTAGAATTAACCAAAGCCAGCTATGCCTACATTTATTCTTCTTTTGTCAGCAGTGTTCTCGTGCGCTACTTTGTATTCACCTTCCGCCCATCGAATCAACCACTACAGTGCTGATGAAGGCAAGTAGGTGTTGTCACACTTATATTCATAGAACCGCCACACAAACAGTCCCAGTAGACTTAACTCCACCTGCTACGAATGGCTTCAACCCTTTCTACACCTCCACAACACTATCTCATCCCATTATTTTCAACCCTCATATTTCAGCAGTCCACATTTTGAATGCATTTTTTGACGTCGTATCCCTTCGTCTGTATGCCAAAACCTCTATCAGCAAACATAAAGAAATGGAAGAAAGTTCCAGTCGACTTAACTGCAAC